TTACCCTTTTCCTTCAGTTTAGGAAAGGGTCTTTTGTATCATTTCATTGTCTAAAATATTTTAATGACAATTTAACCCCTTGGTGCCGGGTATGACGTGTACGTACGTGCTATGCCCACACTGAGTACTTGTTTGATTGTTTTTACGCATAGATGGCAACACTTGTACTAAATCACCAATGAGCCAGTTACAAGCACCGCCCGTCTCGCCCGTTTACCCGTTTCTTTGATTTACAAAATATTTGACATTATTTTATTTTGATGTTACTAATGTTAAAAAACATCATAAAAATTATAATGTTTATGATAAAAATAACACCATCGATTTTCATAGCACTAGTGAAAAATACGTTTTTCCCGCCATTTAAATCAGGCGCTAGCAGAGCCATCTATCGCCAGACATTTCACGAAAAACATAGAAAATGGGCACAATATTTTCCCCATTTTTTGTTCATTTTCCCCAGCACCATTGGGTTAATAATCATAACATCATAACATCGATAGCAATTGTATTAATAAGAAAAAGACATTTTCGGAATAGGAAAATTAGGATCGGTAACTAGGGCCTACTGATAGACTCCTTGCCGGCTGAGCACATGTGGAGCCATCTGTATGTAACAAAATTCACCAAAAACTACAGGAGATAAAACATAAATCCGGGGTGAATGGGTTAACATTCTGCTACTTTCATTCTGAACTCACAGTTTCATCACAAATACAAAACCTCCTGGATATCTGTAACTGTGTTTGTCTGCTTCTTCATCTGTTCATTAAATCTCAATATCTAACTATCTGCAAGAAAAAAAACAATAAATCCAAATAAATGGCAATTACCTTACAAGGAACATTTGCCTCACTGTGTCTTCTCTCATGCTGGTACAAGTCACAACGCCTCTTGAACATTTTACCACAGTGCTTGCACATTTGGCGAGCTTCAAGATGCACTCCCCGTATGTGTGCCTGGCAGCTTCTTAGGTCAGAATATGTCTTTCCACATATTTCACATTCAAAACAGTTCTAATGGAAAAGGCAAAAAAAGAAGCAATTATGAGATATCAAAATAAAGGATTAAACAGTTTTAAGAGAAGAAATAATAAAAAAAATTGTTTTACAAAACTTAAAAAAAGGTTTTAAATTCAAGATGCCAATTAACATTTCCAATTCATCCCTACACAAAGACATTAAATGAGTATTTTTTTCAAAGAACCATTTTCTCACAAATTCCAGTTTTTCATACCTTCTCCGTATTCTCAAACACAAGACTTGTAGATTCATATTCAGTCTTCTTCTCCTGATCTGATGATTCAAGTGATTTGCTGTCACATTTGGTGTTCTGATAAAAAAATACATGTTTTACTCAAACATTTCCCTTAACCCATTCACGCCGGGTGTCCCGTATATGTGACGGGCCCACTGTGAGTTTACTTGTTTGATTGTTTTAACATATAGATGGCTGCACTTGTACTTGTACTGCCTGTCTCGCCTGTTTACCCTTTTCTTTAATTTACAAAAATATTATACGTTATCTTATTTTGCTGTTACTAACATTATAGTAATTATAATGTTTATAATAAAAATAACCATCGATATTCACTGTAATAGTAAAAATACATTTTCCCGCCAAATGAAATCAGGTAAGGCAGAGCCATCTAGTGTAGAAAAATTTCACAAAAAGTATAAAAATTGAGCACGGCATTTTCCCCCATTTTTTGTTCATTTTTACCCGGCGCGAATGGGTTAACCCATATATAAACAAATAATTAAATATATATACATATATATATACATGTATATATATGTATATATATGTGTATATATGTGTATATATGTGTATATATGTGTATATATGTGTATATATGTGTATATATGTGTGTATATATGTGTACATATGTGTACATATGTGTACATATGTGTACATATGTGTACATATATGTATATATGTATATATGTATATATGTATATATGTATATATGTACATATGTATATGTATATGTATATATGTATATATGTATATATGTATATATGTATATATGTATATGTGTATATGTGTATATATGTATATATATATATATATATATATATATATATATATATATATATATATATATATATATATATATATATATATATACACACACATCTACAAACGCAATCCTTTATTTGGAGGAACGTGTTTATATATTCAGTATCTTATAGTATTTGATGCTCACCACTGTACTGTTCAAAATTATTTTTTGTATATGAAAATATACCTACAGGTAACAAATGGTTTCATAATGATAGAACACTACAATACCTAATTAATGTAACATAATTATTTGCATTATAATTAATGCTGCAGATTAGGTAGACAGAAAGATATATAGATATATTAATTTAATTATATACATTTACAAACTTACCTCATCAATATTTTCAAATTTCTCCTCTTGTAAATTTGTTGTTGTTATTGCTGCTCTCACACCACTATAATCTCCAGGAGCTGAATGAGCTGATGTTTC